GATTGTTCTCACTGTCAGAAAGTTTCTCCTTATTGCCAGGTTAAATCTTTCCTTGTTCAGTTCCATCCATTATGCCTTGTCTGGCCTACAGGCGCTTTAGAAAATAGCTTGACCCCTTCCTCCCTATGGCAGCCCCTCAAATATTGGAAGACAGCTATCATGTCTCCCCTGGTCCTTCTCTTTACTAGACGAGCCAAGCCCAGTTCCTGCAAACATTCTTCATATGTTTTTGTCTCCAGTCCCCTAATCATCCTGGTTGTTCTTCTCTGTATTTTTTCTAGAGTCTTAACATCTTTTTTGTAATGTGATGAACAAAACTGGATGCAGTACTCTAGGTGTGGTCTTACTAAGGCTTTATAGACTGGTATGAGTACCTCCCTTGATCTCGATTGTATCCTTCTGTTAATGCAACTTAGGATTGCATTAGCTTTTTTGGCTGCTGCTGCACACTGCTGGCTCATATTTAGCTGGTTGTCCACTGAGACTCCAATATCCCTCTCACAGTTATTATTATTGAACCTGATTTCACCCAATCTATATGTGTAGTTTTGGTTTTTCTTGCCTAAGTATAGGACTTTACTTTTCTCTATACTGAATTTCATTTTGTTAGATACGGCCCAGTGTTCTAGTCTGTCAAGATCCATCTGGATCTTGAGCCTATCTTCTTGGGTGTTAGCTATTCCTGCCAGCTTAGTATCATCATTTGGTAAATTCCCCTTTTATTCCCTCATCTAAGTTGTTAATGAAGATATTGAAGAGTACTGGAGACACAAGACAGAACCTTGTGACACCCCACTGCTTACTTCCCTCCATGTAGACTTAGACCCATTAAGGACTACTCGTTGAATATGGTTTGTCAGCTAGTTGCAAATCCACCTAGTGGTGGTGCTAACTATTCCACTTTTTTCTAGCTTACTAAGAAGTAGGTTGTGGTCTACTTTGTCAAATGCCTTGCTGAAATCTAAATATATTATGTCCATAGTATTTTGCTGGTCTACTAATTTAGTCACTGTGTTGAAGAATAAAATAAGATTGATTTGGCATGATATGTTCTCAACAAACCCATGCTGACTGCTAGTTATTGCTTTACTTGTTTCTAGACATTGGCATTATGACAAATTATCTTTACCAGTATCTTCCCAGTTATTGATATTAGGCTGATTGGTCTATAGTTCCTGGGTCTGTTTTTTTCCTTTTTTGAAGATGGGAACCACATCAGCTTTTTTCCAATCCTCTGGTAGTTATCTGGTGCTCCAGGATTTTTGAAAGATATGGTGCAGTGGTTCTGAGATGACCTCCGCCAGCTCCTTTAAAACTCTGGGATGTAAACCATCAGGCCCTGGTGATACGTGTTCATCAAGATCAAACAGGTGTTCTCTTACTATTCTTTTTTGCTTATTTTAACTTTTATTTCTGGTCTGTCTTTTACAGTTATATTTTTGATGGGTTGAGCTATAGTTTCTTTTTGCGTAAAGATGGATGCAAAGAATGAGTTAAGCAGTTCTGCTTTCTCTCTGTTGCCTGTTACTTCTTTGCCATCTTCTCTCTTTAGTGGACCGACTGTTTCCTTGATTTTTGTCTTGTTATTTATATGTTGGAAGAAACTTTTTTATTATCTTTGACTTTTGTTGCAATTCTTTGTTCATTCAGAGCCTTTGCTTTCCTGACTTTGTCTTTGCAGATTCTGGCTATCTGCTGATATTCTGCTTTAGTTGTATGTCCTTCTTTCCATTTTTTTGTACTTGTCCTTTTTTTCTTTCAATTTGCCAGAGAGATCTTTGTGCAGCCATGCTGGTTTCTTCTTGGATTTCTTGTTTTTCTTTCTCAGTGGTATATTGTCCTGGTCTGGTCTTCTATGATCATACTTTTCAGAGTTTCCCAAGATTCTTGAGTTGTTTTCCCCTTTAGGATTTTCATCCATGCAATCTTTCCCAAGTTCTTTCTGAGTTTATTAAAATCAGCTCTTTTAAAATCCAAGAATAATTGTCTGCCACACCTATACATCTCCACCCCTGCCTTTTGCCCCCAGATCTATCCCCAGGATGTGGCTTAGCTAACAGCAATGGCTCTTCCATCCCAAAGAATGGTCCATAGCTTCCCGCTGCTCTCCTTTCCTCTGCCTTCTGCACATCTGTACATCAGGCACTCAACCCAGCTGTTTCTCCTCTTCCTCATCAGCCACCTCCAGACCTGGGGGCTGTTGACTCTCCATTTAGGGGCTGATGGATGGCCCAGGCTCTGCCTCTGTCTCTATCTCTGACAGCATCATTCCCTCTTCCCCCTCAGAGCTCTCATATTACCTTAATGCTGGCCCTGTCTCCTACTCCACCTCCTCATCTGATTTGGCTGTGGGAGGGGACAGCGGCCGACAGACCACAACAATTGGGCTCCTAGTTTCCTAGCTAAATATCTTTCCCTTTTCGTGTGGTGCCCATCTGTAGCTATTCTGTTTTCCATCTTTTGAGATATCCATTCCTTGTTCTCTACTTTATACTCCCTTAAAAAGAACAAAGCCTCTGATTTTTGTGATTTTTCTTTATGTCACTTTACTCAGTTTTTTGTGGTGTCTTGATTTAGATTTAGGCATCTGTACAAGTTTTATTTTCCTTTGCTCCCATGGCTGACAGCCCACAGGCCTGATGGCTAAAGTACACAAGCCTTGTGATCTATGTCCTCATGTTCTTACAGTGAAGGCTTATATATCCTGAGCCCATCCTGGTCTGTGCTGGGGGAACCATCTGACAGATCATTCTTTCCAGTCTCATTCCTGTTTCTACTTGTTTGGAAGGTTTTATGGTATTCTCTGTACTGTATATTTTAAAAGAGTACATGCACTCCTAGCTCTATCTTATCTTTATTTCAGTATATATTGTTATTTATTAATATTTTTCTACTAACTTGGAATCTTTAAAATATACCTATGATTCTCCTTTCTTCTGGATGAGGTATGAATCCAATGGCACTGGTTTTTTAGCATCCCAAAGCTTACTAATCTAGGGGACAGGGAGGAATAGATTGAGTGTTAAATATTTACTTTCTGCCTCCTTTTAAAGCCTGTAAACCTGCTTTTCGTTTTATGAATTACTAATTTAAATTTCTTCTTTCCAAATTCAGATATACAAAGCCTGTGACTGCTATTTATTTATTCATTCATTTATTTAATTAATGTATATGGCCAACCTTTCACAAATTTCAAACATTGAATTAAAATAAGAAGCAAAATCCCAATTTAAAAAAGAGCCCAGAACATAATACAGATGCGGCAAACCTAATCACATCCAGAAACATTACAGAATGGGTTCATCCAATACCTAGGCTTAATGCTCCATATAAGATCAGGTTTTCAAGAACTCACAGAGGGCCGATAGGGTCAGTGCCATTGTGATGTTGAAATGTATGTTGCGATGATAGAAAAGGCATACTTCCTTCATGGGTCTCATCACATGGCATAATTTCACAGAGAGGCATGTTCACCTTGTGGGATGATGTGAGATAGGCAGCTTTCCTTGTGTAGGATGTGACATAGCTTTCCTTAACCTACAGCACTTGCTCTTTGCTGCCTAGGTCTCTGGACATTACGCACCACCATCCGAGGGTCATCCACATGGCCTGACAGGGACCATGAGGTTCCTCTGGAGGACAAGGATTTGGCCCTCTCCTTGCTCTCACTTTCTTCTGCTGGAGACAATGGATCCCCCCAGCCCCACCTGAGCTGCTACAGGCATCCCTGACATGAGTGATGTTGAGCTGGCCACACTCACCCCAGCCACACCCACTTGACCCCGAGGTGAAACACAACCCTACAACCCTGATGCAGCCCTCAATGAAATCAAGTTTGACACTCCTGGTCTAGAATTTAAATTTAAATTTGTGTGTGTGTGTGTGTGTGTGTGTGTGTGTATGTGTGTGTGTGTACTTAGTAAATCAATAGTAAAGGGAAAAATAGCAAAACAAATGTTTTGGGGGGTATATTTAACTAGCCATTTTAATGACAAAAAAGATTCCCTATGTGTATTTTGCTCCTAAGGCTAATGCAGACACATGAAGCTGTTGTAGAAGAGCACAATGAAACATGGTATTTCTATGACCAGTAATTATCTTTCAACAATCTGCCACATTACTAGAAAAATACTAGCTTTTTGCTTCTTCTATCACACTAAAGAACAGGATGTCAGATTAGATAAATTCCAGATGAATGCTGGACATTGACCTCAGGGCTTCACGGTGCCTGACACTAATACTTGCTGGGTGTCAGATTTTTTTGAATGATCTCCTTGATGCTTGCCCAATCCTAATTTTATGCCAGTTTATCTTGAGGGCTTATTAAAAGAAAACAAAAATTGCAGTACCACTTAGGAAAATATGTTTGATAGTAATCATGCTTTCGTAATCTTATATCCTCAGAGAATTTATTTATGCTTTATTGGTTGAACAGAACATTTGCATTCAAAAAGTTTAAGATTCATTTATCTTCCAGATAAAGGCTTGAAGACAACACAACATGAAACTCCCCCAATTTATTACACTAGGCACCTAATGCTAATTACAGTGGACAATAATCATTCTGCATACAGGCAGTTTCATAGAATTGTTTATTATTCTTAAGTGACATATAATTCATTTTCCCCTTAATGAACACTATGGAGAATACTTGGGATTTATAACATCTATGCAGGTTGGGAACACAGAACTCTGCAGGTATTGTTGAACTAAAACTTTCAGCATCCCTTACAGTGGTGGGATTCAAAAAATTTTACTACCGGTTCTGTGGACATGGCTTGGTGGGCATGGCGTGGCTTGGTGGGCATGGCAGGGGAAGGATACTGCAAAATCTCCATTCCCTCCCCACTCCTGGGGGAAGGTTACTATAAAATCCCATTCCCTCACCACCCCACTGACCTGCTTTCCAGCTCTGTTCTCCTGTGCAGGGCAACAAAAGGAGACCCAGCCAATCATCTGGGGCTCAGGAGGCAGAGAATAGATGGGGTGGGGCCAGTCAGAGGTGGTATTTGCTGATTCTCCAAACTGCTCAACATTTCCGCTACTGGTTCTCCAGAACTGGTCAGAACTTGCTGAATACCACCTCTGATCCCTTACCAATGACCAGATTTGAGCTCCTGGGAGTTGTAGTTCAACAAATAACTGGAATACTTAGACTCCAGAACTAGATATGAAACAAGAGACATCATTTGGTTAAGAATTGCATATTCTACATAATTTTCATTGTGGCAATGGAGGAAAACTCCTTTAAAGTTTGACATAGCTAACACTGGTATCCCAGAGTGCTATAATTAAATCCTACTGTTTTCATTTCCCATACCAGCCAACTTTTCCTTCTTTAATGAGCAGACACATACTGTTTTATGTGGAATTGGATTGACTAATTGATGTTCAAACATTATATAGTGAAAGTTGTGAAACTTCTTTTTATGCTGCCTGGGAAGAGGTGGACATCGGCTGTATTAATGCTAATAAATTGTGCTGTCCTACCCAGTTGGCTTAATTGTCATTAGGCTATTTGAAATTCCTGGAGGGAAGGCCATGCCCACATACAGATACACTGTAATGTAAAACTTCCAGAGTATTTTTTTTGGGGGAGGGAGAAGAACATACCATGTTCACTTTAATATGTTCACTTCTACTTGCCATTGCAGAACATAATGGCTGCTTTTTTACAGCATGTTACATAAACATAGGATATTATTTTATTAGTTAAAGTATACCAACTTATCACTTAAGTATTCTTATAGTTACTTTGTCCAACAATTATTTGTACAAAGCAGAAGCAGGATAGGACATTTGCAAGAAAAAATTGTAGTAGATAATTTGCATGGAATAACCTAAGTACGTTTCATAGTACATAGGTTACCCCTTGTTTTCTTCTTATAAGAGACTGCCTTATATAATGCAGGGCGTAAACATTCTTTTGCTAGACTTCCTCCATCCCAGAATAATAGTTGTCAAAAATCAAAATGGCTAAGGGGAATGACACAAGACTGCACTATGCAATATCCATTTTTCCAAGGAATTCCAGGTAGAGGAAATAGTAGTTTGTATTAAGCCTACTTTTAGAGCTTGCTGAAAAGTGTTAAAGGGTTTCCTGCAGCAAAATAGCAAAATTGAAAGAGAATGTAACAAATGAATTTATATTCAACATAATATTCAATAATTGACTTCTAATATTTAGCAGGATGGTAAGTTTATTCATCCAACCACCGAGACAGAGGTTTGAGGGCTATGTGTAGCCCATGAGCTATCAATAGCTCTCCCCCATCATTGCCATGATTTTGGGATTATAATTAAAATTAAAGAATTGTCTGAAATCACATTGAATCTGACTCTTTAGTATTTTCATTCAAATTCCCTCAGATTCAAAACCAGTTAAGGTCCTATTTCCAAAGCCATATTTTCTTCTCACTCCACCTCCCCATTCTATTTTATGCAGAATGAAGAATGGAAAAGATTCCATTCCAGCTCAATTTCCTTCTTATCTGAAAAAAATCATAAGAGTTCCACAGGCATTTTCTTAAGAAAAAAGGACCAAAAGTATCACACTGAGGCTCAGCAGCACCATGACTTATATTGAACATTCATTGATAAACTGCTTTATAGTTTCTAGAGATTCTTAGCTGTTGCTGCTCTGATTATGCTGTGCTATGTGGGTTGATTTACTGTTATTGTATCATCTGCTCTTGAGAGTTACTTAAACCTGTGGTTTATAAAGAATGGAAGTTATGGCAGTGTTACTTTAGCTATCCAGCTTGGTTTTTGTTACATCTTCTTTCCTTCCTAGATTCTAAAAAATAATCACCAAGAGCTGTTGGAATTCCATAGGGATAAAACTAAGTAATTAGATGGCAGCAGAGAGTGTTTTCTAAATGTCTTAGCTGCTCTCTAGTGGTCACCAGGATTTTTATAGTTCAGAAATGATAGTCCCACATTTTGAGACCAGAGGGCCAAATTGAGAGTGAGCTTGATTCTAATTTCTTTTAAGGATGTATTGTAGATGAGATAAATTCATTCTGGGAATTGAAATTGAAGGTTACTTTTGTGCTAATTTATACTATTTGGAGCACATATACATGCATTTATGTACAGAATATCTTGGATTAAAATAAGTTGATTAGCTAACTACAGTAACTAACTAAAGTATTTATGTACAAGATACAGGCAGAATTTAAGGCCTGAAACCTTTTTTTCTAAAGTAAAAGAGATTAGACATTCTAATCTCTAAAGCAATTAGAGGACAAATAGCCTTATGCTTAATATATTTAGTTTTGACGATGCTACCTAGTTTAGGGAATGAAAGTCTGCAAGAAGACAAACTCAGAGAGCACCAAGGATCCCTTATAAATATTTATAAATGAGCATAATAACAATATCAAGAACTTCTTATGGATCAGGGCAACAAAGAATTGTTAAATAACTAGGATTGTATGTACAAAATCCAGGGAAACAATGGTGTTCCAGAAATGGCTGCATACCGAGCAATATGCTTTAATAATTATTGAAAATGGCTATTATTCATTATATTTCAAAGATTATATATACATAGCCAGTTTGGTATAGTGGTTAAGGCATGTGACTAAGGTGGGTCTAGAAACCAGTTCCAGGCTCACCTTAGTCACAAAGCCAGTTAAGTGACCTTGGACTAGTTGCACTCTTTATCTCAGCCCTGGGAAGCAAACAAGTACAAATCACTTGTGAAATGTTGCCAAGAAAATTGCAAGGACTCATCCAGGCAGTCACCAGGAGTTAAACATTTCCAACCTCTTTCCCAATCAGAAGTATGTCTCATTAAGCTTAATTAGTCTTGCTCTAAATCAAAATGGATGCACTATTGCAGCTCAGAAGAATATGCAGAAACATACTTGGAAGTTGTATTTATCCATGCGATTAAATATGCACAAACCTGCATGCTTAAAATTGTTCCTTGGAGAAGGCTATAAGTTAATATTATATATGAGGAACTTCACATAGCATTCTAGCTTAGTATTGGTGAAGCAACATCTCTAGGTAAATATATTTTTGATTTGTATGTGTGTGCATGCATATATTTGTGTCTTGTTATTGAACAGGTAGATATAAAATTGGGGAAAAGGAAAGAGTGCTTCTTTAAATAAATTTACCCAGGCAACATAACCAGTAAATTCTTCAAGAGCTGCAACACAACTAGGCCATTTTAAACTATGACACACTCAATATTTTGTTCCCTAACTTTTACTCCTCATAAAAATCATAGAATTGAAAGTGTCTGTTGAAGTCAGAGAGTCCACCTCTTGTAAAAATCCAAATTAAAGCATCTCCGATAGTTAATGGTTTGTCATCACTTGAACACATCCATACACAGGGAGACCATCAGATCTCTAAATAATTGAATTAACTGTGAAACTAACATCCAAACAGTATTAGTTTTCTTGCAATTCATAATTTTAGATCCTGAATCTTGGAACAATAGAAAGGAGAGCTTGACTTTTCTTCTGTAGGAATCCTTTCAGTCTGTGACAAATAGATTCAGATAAAGATAGATAGATGATAGATGATAGATAGTTTTAGACACTTGGCAACTGAGTTATATTTATGATGGTTGCAGTGTCCCAAGGTCATGTGATCTTTTGCAACCTTTTGACTTCACAACCAACTTAACAAACGCAGTAATTCACATAACAACAGTGGCAAGAAAAGTCATAAAATGGGATAAAACTCACTTAACGAATGACTCACTTTAGCAACAGAAAGTTCAGACTCAATTGTGATTCAGGATTTGTGTGTGTGTGTGTGAGTGTGTGTGTGTGTGAGTGTGTGTGTGTGTGAGTGTGTGTGTGTGTGTGTGTGTGTTGCATATGTCCTTTTGTAAACATATTACATTGCTGACTCATTCTAATTGCAGGAAATTGTTCTTCCAGTATCATTTTTATAAATATTTTTACCAGGAGAATAACCCATGCCTTGATTTTTGTTGTTTAAGTGAAGTATTCTATATTTATTGTTATCTGACACTGAAAATCTTTGGCAGAATGTTTTCTTCAGAGCCAAGTGAGGGGAGGAAGAGAAAAAATGAAGGTTGAGATATTTGTTCCTAGCAAGAAGAATCAAAGAACAGTAAGTCAGATGCCATTAGTGGTACTTCCCCTTTGATAGAATATCTTCCATAGGTTGAAGAGGGGAAGACTCTTGGCACATCTGCTCTAGATAATGGGAGGACTCTCTGAAGGAGGTAAGAGAGAAATAATGAGGAGAGGACAGACTACATCTCTAATATCAGATTTTGATCTAAGTAATAGTTATATTAGTAAGTGTGAAAGGTCCTATCTTATTGATTCACTGATCTATCTATTGCTCCATTGCATTCCCAAGAATGGACATAGACATAGACACACGTGTGTGTGTGTGTGTGTGTGTGTGTGTGTGTGTGTGTGTGTGTACTTTTTATTTTCATCAGAAATGCTTGATGTATTCACTTTTGGCTATGGAACAATTTCAACAGATAGGGTTGAGATCAAAGAACTGCAAAACTAGAAGGGATGCTTCAAATATTCTCCCTTTGTCTAATCCAAATTGCCATACCTTGCTCCAACCTGTAATTCTGTTGTTCTTTTTCTTTAGAAAAGTATATATTTTTTTTATTGAACCTAGACAACACATTCCCATTTTTTGCCTGTGGAGCAAAGGCAGCATATGTCTGAGTTGTATGTGTCTTTTGACCATTGGAGAAGAAACTTCAGTACTCCGATTATGTTCAGGTTTTCAGTTTCAGTGCCATGTTTTCAAAGCCTTTGTCCACAAACATCCTTTCCTCAATTTCAACTTCAGCTGACCATTAAAAAAAGGCTTTCTAAACATCGAAACATGTCAAAAGCAGCTGGTTGTATAATAATCACAATATTTGCCCTCTTTCTTGTGGCATCACGATGGAAGACTGAGGAATTTAGTTTTCCCTCTACTTCTTGCTGATTGCATGTTGCCCTTTCTGAGCCACATTTCATCCACATTTTTTGCCCTGATGACAAAT